GTCTGGTACACTCAAAATGTGATCTACTTTTTACTTTGAGTTAGCAAAGTGTAACCCACACACCTCCTGGGGGTGGTGTTCTGTCCCGTCTAGTGGCACTGAGACCACTTAGAGAGAGAAAATGAGTCAGCTCTACAGCCTTAGCTAACAGCCAGGTGGTTTTTTGCTCATGTGGTAGAGGCTCATACACTAAGCTCCAGAGGTCCCAAGTTTGATCCTGCCTGCTGAGGACCAGGGTGTGTGGGTGTTGCAAAAGCTCATGCCATTCTTTATATTTTTAATGATCTATTTATATAGTGATGGATTGCAAAATTCTTCATGAGCTGATGTACAAACCTTGCACAGGGATCACTTCACCCCTTGCCGAAATGCAGCAACTGTGGGAAGATGCATAACATTTCACCCCTTTAGGTTTGGAGATTAAGTATATATTAGCCAGTTAAATGTGCAAGAAGAATTTAAGGAGGAAGAATGAAAGTATATAAGATGGGGTTCTCCTGCCTTTTAATTTTATAGACCATTCATGGACCTCTCACCAACCATCTCTTGTTCCCACACCCCAATCTCTATACAGGTTGGTTCTCAAAAAATTTTCATTCTGTGGGCTAGCAGGAAGAGTTCTGTGGCTCTCTGGTGATCCACAGGCTACAGATTGTGAACCTCTGATCTGATTCTGCAACTCATACTAATAGTCCCTTTGAAGCTAATGAGAATTTTCTCATAAGGATGGCAAGATAGAGCCTAGGTTCAAAGAAAATAAAAGCAGGATTAAAATGCTACCAGTGAGGTATCAGTGGCTCTTTAACTACTTCAGCACTAGCTGGCATATGTCACAGCTCTGATCGCTCTCCCTGTGGAACTGAGATCCCTCTGAGCTTGTTTCCCTTGATGTTGCACCTGTAATAGGTCATCCTATTGTAAGGTGAGAAAGAGTTTCTTGATATGAGCACATCTCTAGTCCTGCTTTGTGCATTACAATTAATTTTTATTTCAGTCTGGGCTGAGCGGGCTTTTTTTTCTCCCTGCTGTGCTGGGGACATGTTTATTTAATTTTCCTCAAAAAAAGATCTCAAATTAGGCTGAGTTTCAGAAAAGAAATGGAAGCAATTAGTGGTGTTATTCCGCATGTTGACTTAATTACCATAGTACTACAAGCACAGAAGGAAACCCAGACAAGCTGGGAGGGGTTTGCACATGATTCTTATTGCTGGATAGACACAAAAAGGAAAGAATAGTGCGTAAAGAGTGGCTTTTGTGTGATATAATTAACCTTGTTTATTCTTATTTACCTACATACTTCAATGATTTATTTAATGTGCCCATCATGAGGCATCTGAGGTGTATTAAGAGCAGGTGGCAATACATGGAATTAAATTGTCCTCAGTGGACAGCACAAATACCTCTGCCTCCAGTATGCTCCCTGTACACCATGGGTGAAATTCATCCTTGTGCAAGGAGCCAGCACACGCCTAAGCAGTCCCACTTAAGCTCTCCATGGCAGTCTTTCTTCCTTCCTCCTAGGTCCTGCAGAGGGTGCTCTACTCATCCTGGAAATTTCAAGGGGGAACAGATGAGATGGGGAGTGAATCAGCTGGACGCAGGGCCAGACGGATATGTATTGTGCCCACATCAGCCCAATGGAGATCAGGGCAGAAAGAAAATACAGCCCCAACTTGATCCACAGAGGGGATCCCCCGCAAAGGGTGTGTCTCTGGGGCAGCTGCTGCTGTGGGAGCTCTCTCAATGGGCTTCTCTTCACTGCAAGGTTAACTGGACTTATGACATGAGAGTTGCCCTGTCCATACACAAAATCCTTCAACACAAGTTGTGCAGCCCATCAGGGCATATAGGGTAAAACCCAAGTGATCACAACTCGTCAGCTACTGACTCGACCACTCTGTAGGATGGACACAGGCTAGTGCCGCTTGAGTGCTTCTCATCTTCCCATGTCTTGCCACAATGCCCTGTGTGTCCAGAAAGGACAGACAACTCTCATACTTCACAAGGAAAGAATTCATAGTGTGGCTCAGTTTAATGCAGCACTAAAAACCATGGGATGTGCCCCCTGAACTCTTAGTGCCACAAAAAAGTGAATTCAGCTCCAGTGTGGACACAGCAGCTCAAGTGTTATTTCAGCGTGGCTGCTCTCACTCAAGGTTGGCTAACTCAGGGGGACTAACGCAAGTGTACATAAACTTGAGTTACTATGCAGTAAAGACAGCTGTGGCTCCATCGAAGGAAAGGTGGTAAAAGTCACTCTCTGATCCTCAACTTCCCATGTGGTGTAATAGGGATAATAATAATCCTTCCTTCCTCCTGCCCTTTGTCTGTGTTGTCTATTTAGATTGGGGCAGGGACTGTCCCTTATGTACCGTGCCTAGCACAATGGGGCCCTGATCTTGGTTGGGGTCTCTAGGCTGTATTGGGCTACAAATAATAATTAATAAAACAACTGTACCTATTATGTTAATGATCCGATCGTGTGCAAGGACATCTCTGCTTTGGGAGATTATGGCAAACTGGGACAGTGGATTGGCTGGTATAAATGTCATATTTCCAGCTGTGCTCCTCCCCATTGGTCACCGAGGCCCAGAAATCTAGTTGTCGTCCTTCTAGTGAGCCCTGGGCACTACACCCTTTGGAACCTGTGACACCTGATTCAACCAGCTGGGTTTGGTGAGATTTTATTGAGTACATTGTTGGGTTCCCTACACAGTTTGCCCAGCAAACAAAGCCTAATAGAGTCAGGCCCGATTGGGTGGCTGTTTTCCCCAACTGCAGTCCCAGAACCAGATTCTGGCCCCAAGTGTTTCATGAAATAACATCTCAGCCCTTTCACCAGCCTGTCATCTTTCCCTTTTGTTTAATTTCTGCAATTCTCTTCACATAAAACCCCTTAAGTTCCAGTTCACTTATTGGTTTTCTTTCACAATGCATGTTTTTGTAGGGGGAAATATAATCCCACAAATGTCTGTGTTTAAGAGGATGCAAATCAGTTTTCCAGCACAATGCTTTGTGAACAGTTTCTTTCATGCAAAACTCTGCTAGATAAATAAAAATCAAAGGGGGGGAATAGGAGGGAGGAGGTAGAGGAGATGCTGCTTCTATAAACAACAAGAGTTAATTATCATTCAACAAAATCACAGATGTGACAGAATCAAAAAACTTAAGATCTGAACCTTTCTGAACTTTGGAGAAGTCTAGATCTAGAGCTAAATGTTGCAACAAAACCTGTAGCAACGGCCCTAGCCTTGTCTAGTATCGTGGGGAAGTAAGGAGTCTGAAGGGCTGGGGGCTGGCTGTGTATTGTGATTTGAGATCGCACCAGTAGATGGCACCATAAACAGAAAACCTCACAAGAACTGTCATTAGTAAAGAGAAAAGGTGGATGAGGTCGGGTCTCTATGAGCTAAGATCAAGTGTAGTAGTGCCCTGAGGGGTGAAAACATTATCTTTCAGTGGAACTTCTGTTGGTGGGAGAGACAAGTTTTCGAGCGACACAGAGCTCTTCCTCTGTGTAGCTTGAAAGTTTGTTTCTCGCACCAACAAAAGTTGTCCCAATAAAATATATTACTTCACCCATCTTGTCTCTCGAATATCCTGGGACCACTATGGCTATAACAACACTGCATATTATGAGTAGAGTATAAAATACCTGTCACTTATATGTATGTAGTAGTTTTACTTCTTCAGGATGATTGCAACATTGCAACAGGATCTCATTTAACTGCAAAAGAAATGGTATTGCTTCCTTATACCTGCACCAGGTTGAACTGTATAGGACAAAGGGACAAGTTAATTCCTGGTGTAACTCCACTGGTTCTCCAAAAAATAAAGTATATTTGAAAAGGTTCCTACTGAGCAGCAAAACTCCACTAAGTGAAAGCATTTCTTTGATGGCATCCATGAGCATGTTCTGTACTCCACACATGGATATGTATCTGATCTAAGATTACACTTCTTAAATTGTAAACTCCTTTGGCAGACACCTTGTCTACTCCATGCTCTGTACATTGCTGAGCATGCTGATAGAGCACAACACTTTGCACATGCCATAATACGAGTGTGTCTCGGATAGGGAAGATCAGAGAAACAGGAGAAAGTGGAGGGCAAGTTTTTATTGGCATGTCATCTGGGGAGATCACATTACTATCAGTGCAGCAAGTGAGAGCACTGTCTAGTGATTATTGCAAGTTGCTGGTATTCAAAACTCATAGATTCTGTTCCCAGCTCTCTACAGACTCACTGTGGGGTTTTGGGCAAGTCAGTTTACTTCTATGTGACTAGATTTCCCCATTTGCAAAGTGCCTCACAAAGGTGTTGTGATGTTCAGTTGTTTCATATTGGTAAATTCCTTTGTGATTCTTGGGTGAAGGAAGCTACAGAAGTATAAATTCTTATCTTTACTCTTGAAAAGCATATTGGAAAGATGTCTATTAATTAACTTGCATTTTTCTAAATATATGTTTATATAATACATACATTCATGATGAAGTATGTGTACATGCATATACAAAAATCTGCATTTATATACATATCTATAGTTGGATATACATGCAACAAAAATAAATAAGTATATACATTACAAGCATACATTTAGCAAAAATACAAGATCATTAACAAGCATCTTTTGCAGATATTAGATGGAGGTATCTAATCCTTTTTTCCATGTAGACTGCAGAGGTAAAAATACACTTTGAAATAAAAAAAATCTTGTGTATGTGCATTAAATGGTTTTGTGCATGAGACTGAAGTGTGTGAGTGTGTGCATGAGAGAGAGTGGTGAGATGTCTGTGAGAGCTATGATGTGTAAATGAGTGTGTGTACAAATACAGCTTCCTTAACAGCCATTTCTTTTTTTGTAAAGTCTGTTTGGTACATTATTTCCCTGTGTCATGCACTTTGTCAGTATCACAAAAGACTATTCCAGCAGAAAGCCCCACTGTGTTAAGGGCACTGCTTCTACAGAGCATAGTTGAGCAACATGAATTCTCTTCAAGTTTTCAAAGTCCTGGAAAGTTTTGATAAGCAAATACTGTCCAGGCTCTGCTTCTCCATTGGTTGTTTCTTCACCGCCAGATTTTGACACAAATAATCTGATTGAAAAATCAGGGAGGGGAACAGGGGCAAAAAACAGAAAGAAAAAAGGAGAAGTATCTATTTCAGAAGACAGCTACCAAGTGAAAAAGTGGAAGAAAGAGCCACAGAAAGAGAAAGAGAAGACCTCTTGCTGGGGGGTTTGTCTGGGGAGATTTCAAGGCTGAGCTTGATTCCTGCAAACCACAGTCCCCAAAACAGGTGATTTTTTTTACACATTTACTAACTTTGTTGAATTCATTCCTATGATGTGTCTTCATAAGCTTTTCTTTTCTCTTTTCTTGCGTTTGCAGATATATTCCACCACACGAGTCAGTTACATGTGCTGGGGATTGTTTTAGGATAATAAGGTGCTTAGATAAAATGATCAAACCTTTTAAAAACTGTACATTTATTTAACTTGAACACGTGCACACGGGCATGTGCATGCACACACACTAAAGTAAGTAGTAACAGAGAATGATAACAGCAAAAAAAGGTACAGATAAGATATTACTATGCCCTTCAACACCTAGGTCACAACAAGTACCTATAAGCAGAACTCATTTCCAGATGTGCCCCTTTGTATCTCGGCAATGAGGACATATTACATTTTTTCTTTTAATTGATATTTTCATGGGGCCAGATCTTCACCTTAAGTACATTTGCAAAGCTCCATTCACTTCAATGAAGCAATGCCAGTTTACACCAGTTGAGGATTTGGCCCATATTATTTAGTATTTTTGGCTCCAGTTTACCAATTGATTTAACTTGTTTTCCCCCCTCTTAAATATGCTGATTAACGTGGCATAATTTTTAGCATATGGAATAAGTTTGAACTCCCGCCTGACATACAGCCAGATCGGTTCAATGCACTTGGCAGGTGAATGGACAAATGACAAGCCCACACGATGGGTGAGCCTGTAAATTAAAGGAATATAGGATTTGTTTTACAGTACCTTGTCAAAGCTATTTATCCTTTGACACCCGATCCAGTGCCCATTGAAGTCAATGAATCCGGCTCCTAATGAACAATCCTGAAATCACTTTTTAAATCACTTTATTTTTTAAAAATGTATTTAATCCAGATGGGCAAGTATTTCCATCCACATCATGGGCAAAATTATAATAAAAAATTGCCAGCCCTGGCACAACATCCATTTGCCCAACCTTACCATGATAATGAAGAACTAATTATATGTTTACCTCTCCACTAAAAACAAGTACAAATTACTCATCCCTGGTGAGTAGAATTTTATAAGGCTGGACTAGTGAGTTTAAATTTTGGTTTAAAAGACTGAAAGTCTTTTTGAATGCTACTTAAGATCCAGTGTCAGGAGCCTGTAAAACCTCTTATTTTGTTAGCACTCAAAAAAATTAAAATACATGCGGATGGTAGTGAGGTTTCTTCATAATGTAGAATCTTCTGTAAGACAGAGAGTTCTTTATTTTTAGAAGGTTTGTGCTTTGGTTTGGTTTTGGTTGTTTGTTTTTTGTTTTTGTTTTGTTTTGCACCAGAATACTGGAAAAAAAACTATAATAGCAAATAAAGTTTGTAGGAAGAAGAAAATATTTTCCCCTGGCTGAGCCCTTGTACAGTGATCAACCCATCTGAAAATGTATTTTATTTGTAACTCTAAAAGTCTGTTGTGAATTTCCTTCAAACCTAGTGAAAAAAGCTTCCTTCATCTTGAGAGTTAACTTTCCAAATTCGGAGAAAGAGAGATTTGAATTTCAGAAGTTACAAGGGGATGAAAGTCTGTCTTATAATGGAACATATGTTACAAATTTAAGACCTGATTCTGGACGGTGTTCCGGATTAGGTCCGTAGGATGCAATCCTGCAAACACCTGCTATCAAATATTTGCTTATTGTTGTGAGTATTCCCATTGAAGCCAATGGAACTACTCACAGATGTAAGTGCTTCACTCGGTAGTAAGTGTTTGCAGGATCAGGGTCTAAGCTATAAAAACTATATTCGTCTCTCCATAACAGCAATCTTCTGACAAGCACAGGAGCCCTTTACAGCACCAACAAAGGGCCTGATCCTGCATTTTTTGTGCACTGCAAACTCCCATTCATTTCAGTGCGAGTCAGGGATGCACAAGGAATGCAGGATCAGGCCCTATGTCTCAGCTGAAACAGAAGCCAGAAACCCCTGAAAATAAGACATTCTAATAGAAGTTCTTGTACATTGAGTGTAACAATGTGACTGTAGTACATCTTACACATTTTTGATGAGATGTTCCCTATAAATTCTATTGACCACCTATCAACAGTGTCCTAAAGGCTCTAGGAACCTTTGGAATGGAAGGTGCGCTGCAAATATAAGATATTATTGTGAACATTGGCCTAGATTTTCAAAAGGGGCTAGTAACTTTGGGTGCCTCAGTTTTGCAGGTGCCAAAGATGCATTAACGGGGCCTGATTTTCAGACATTGCTGACCATCCACCCTTTGTAAATCAGGACCTTTAAGGGGTCTCCAGTTAGGCACCCAAAAATCAAAAAGTCCAAAATCACTAAATCACCAGCCACTTTTGAAAAATCTAAGAATATTTTTTCCATGCTGAAAGCCAAAACTGTAACTTGGCCACTCTCCCTGGGGCTTCCTCTGGCTGCTTGGAAAATATAGTAGCCAGTTGCACGTTCTGTAACTGAGCAGTAAACAAGTAACTCTGATGAGTCTGACTTTGAATTTTACATTCTCTTTTGAACCAAGAAGAAGCCAAAACAGCCACATTTTGGGTAATCATCCTTGGCTAATCAGTGAAACCTTTCTTATATGATCACTATCCAAGGAAGGGATTGTCACCAAAGAGATCATCAAAAACCGTCTCCCTAAAAGATGGACTTTAAACTAAAGGTTGAACAAAACTGTGCTGGAAGACTCAGTGGTTGCTTAAGACATAGGGCTGCCAATTTTGGTTGTACATATTCCTGGGGGTTTCATTCATCACATCACAATCTTTAATTAAAAATTAATCTTCGATTCCTGGCGACTCCAGGACAATCCTGGAGGGCTGGCAATTCTATAAAATAAGACAAGGTGTTGTCTGTTAAAGGTGGGGTCCGTAGTGCTGGTTTCCCTTGATATCATGGTTAGATATTAGTAGCAGTTGACCACTTGCTACTGATAATCTGTTTCAGAGGGAGATAATATTTTTCTCTCACAATCTGTGCTTCCAGCTTTCCTCACATTTGGTCGTGTGAATCACAAATATAATCTGATGCAGTTAATTAACTACACTCTGGGTTCCCAGTTCCTGTTTTCTCTGTAATGTGGGGTGGCGGGGGGGAGGGGGACTTCCTTTTGCAACGTTCAGTAGTGCATCAAAGATCGTTGAACTAGGCACAGGCCATTATCTGCCATAGAGACACTGAGCCAAATTTGGCTGTCTCATAGACTTTAAGGTCAGAAGGGACCATTATGATCATCTAGTCTGACCTCCCACATGATGCAGGCCACAAAAGCTGACCCACCCACTCCTAGAATAATTCTCTCCCTTGACTCAGCTGCTGAAGTCCCCAAATCATGATTTAAAGACTTCAAGTTGCAGAGAATCCTCCAGCAAGCGACCCCTGCCCCATGCTGCGGAGGAAGGCGAAAAACCTCCAGGGCCTCTGCCAATCTACCCTGGAGGAAAATTCCTTCCCGACCCCAAATATGGCAATCAGCTGAACCCCGAGCATGCGGGCAAGATTCTCCAGCCAGACCCTCCGGAAAAAAGTTCTCTGAAGTAACTTTTAATATCCCATCATTGACCATTGTTACTAATTACCAGCGATGGCACGTTATTGACCTATTGACTAAAATCACGTTATCCCACGTTACTGGTGTAAATCTGGAGTAATTTCATTGATTTCTCTGGAGCTATTCCAGATTTACTCTAGTGAACTGAAAGCAGAATTTGGCCCAGTGTATCTAAATGAAACACTGTGGGCCCAATCCGGCAAACACCCCACCTGGGAAACTCCTATTGACTTCAGTGGAAGTTCTACACACACTGACTTGCAGGATTGGGCCCTGTAACGTTGTGGTGCTTAAAAGAAGCCTCAGTAGGGAGTTACGGGAAAGTAAATAGAACTAGGTAATATGGAGTCATTGCTTGCAAACACGCTGTCCATTTTCAGCCCTATATTGGTCCCCCATCTAACTTTCTAACATAAAAAAAATTCTCTTTGTGACACAAACTTTCACATGTTAATCTCAAGTCACTTGCAATTTTTTTGGTAAAATGTGAAGAAAACCAGGTGAGCCTATTTCAGAGTAAAACCTGACTAGGGAGTTCAAGTTTGACCCAAAGATGGATTATTAAGTGATAGGAGCCCTGGGCCAGATTTACAAAGGTATTTAGGTGCCTAAAGATGAGGATGGGGTGACTAATGTGATTTACAAAAGCACCTAAACTAGTTAGTTGCCTAACTCTCATTGTCTTAAATGGGACGTAGGCACCTAACCTACGTAGGCACTTTTGTAAATCACACTAGACACTCTATTTGCATCTTCTGGCACCTAAATGCTTTTGGAAATCTGTTCCCCTGTCCCTTGGGACACTTAAAACAACACTGAACAAAGCACTAGCCTATACAATTGTATTTCGAATACTCACGGTCAGTTTCTGCACTGGGCCCTGACGAATGGACTAGCTGAACTCAGAGACCTTTCCCATCTCTAGTTGCTGTGTTTCCATGATCCATTCACAACTTTCCCTGGCTGCCCTATGCTGCCTCACTGAGACATTTCAGGTCATTCTTGCTCTACAGGTGCTGGGCTTTTTTCTTTTTTTAGTAAATATGTACATTACGCTTCAACTGTTCTCCTGTGGGGGTGAGGTGAGAGGGAAAGGGGGAGAGGAACACTTCCCTGTCAACATAGACCCAGGATTTACTAGAAGCTTTCCAGGGTAAAATATACCAGGCTTTGCTTTTACTGCCACTGTACTGAACAAGTATAGGGAAAAATGCAAATGTGCATGCAAATAAGAGATCAGCTGATCTCCTTGTAGTGTCTAAAGTTGAACACTTTCCCGTGTTCTCTAGCACAAGGCCGGTTATTAGCCCTTGGGAAGTGGGGAGGGAGTAGGCCTGGGTACTAAAGATAACAGATGCATTGCAAGGGAATTTCATATGATTAAATTTCAGCATTTTATGTTTGTTTCTAACTCATGCATTTCAACAGCCTCATAGTGTTTGTTTCAGAGACAGCGTGTAACCCTTTCCCACTCAGCACTTCTGCTATGCCATTGCTTTGACTGTCATTTGTCAGCTAAAAAGCCAAATCATCATGCAGCGCTGGTAAAGAAATTTCATGTACATTAAAGAGCTTCACCCCACATCAGATCAAGGCTCCCTCTCTGCCATTATTCAGCATGTCTTTCACATTGATTTGTTGTTATTATCATCATTAGCGTTTGTATTGTGGCAGCACCTAGGAGTCCCGTCATGGAATAGGACCCCATTGTGCTAGGCACTGTAGAGACACAGAACAGAAAGACAGCCCTTGGCCCAAAGAAATGTTTTCCTGCGAGCTCTCCCACTTCGTTGTACATTCAAAAGAATAGAATCAGAGATGCAGCATTGTTTAATAGCTAGAGCTGGGGAGTAGGAGTTCTGCATTCAGTTCCTGACTTTGCCACTGACTCACTGTGTGGCCTTGGGCAAATCATTTAACCTCAACGTTCTTCCTCTGTAAAATAAAGATAACAATACTTCTATGCCTTGGGGGGGGGGGGGTTGAGGAAGGGGCTTATAAACCTTAAATCTTTATTAAAGCACTTTGAGATTTGCTGTCATCTCTGCAGCCAGTGACAAACAGTGTCTGAAAATGACATGGTGCTCCTCTTGCCCTGTCCATGGGTTTCAGTCTCCTGCCCTGGAGTTGTGGAATCCATCCCAGCTCCTAATTCCCTGCAGCCACTCCTCTTTGACTGGCTAGGGATAGGGGGAACAGAATCTTTCAACTGAATGCTCTGTCTCAGTATACGTTGCTCATCCAGAAACATGACATATGGGTTTTATTTCTAGTCATCAAAGCACCAGGAGCTGGGGGGTAGGAATGTGGGGAGTGATAGAAAACATTTCTGTCCCTCACCATTATTTATCCCATCCTTCAGTGTTTCTGCCCAGGAAGTGCCTGGAAAATGCCACGTTCTTTTTTGGTGAAGAGTAAGAAGGCCCATACCTACCACCAGCACCACTCTGTGGAAGAGGATCTGCCTGTTTCCACATGGGATCCCATACCATCACTCTGCCTTGGTGAGTCAGATCCATCCTCTGGGCTCGCTGAAGTACACCAAGGCAAACCGCAGTCGGAAAGCCAGGCTGGCAGTATAACACAGAGCTGTGATAACCACCTGGGAACCTCTTGAAGTAGCTTGCCTACTGAAGTGAATGGGAGTTTAGCGTGAGTAAATAGTGAGTTTAAACTGATTAGACAGTGAGTGAAGGGCCCCAATACACAGACATTGGCTTCCCCTCTGCACGCTTTCTCTCTTGCACTTCCTAGACCAAATCTGCTGCTGGCATAAATAGGTACAACCCTGTTGAAGTCAATGGAATTGCACCTTTTTTTTTCCAGAAACTGCATTTGGCCTCTGTCTGTATCTCCCCTTTGGCTTGATGGTTTAGTGATTCCAGGGGCAATGCAGAGATACTAGACTATATTGGAGGGCTTTGCTCACACATATGAATTTAAAAGTTTGAATAAATGTGTTTCTATTGATTTCCAGATCTCTGCCTTGCTTGCATGGGAATCACTGCAAAAAACCCTCCCTTCTTCTGCTTTCTTTCATTTTAAATATAAATATTTATTCCCATTTTCCCCCAGAGGGCAGTTTTAGTACATGCAATGAAACCGGTGTGGATCTCGCTGCACTTATGTTCAGCAAAGGCAGCTGACTCCAGCAAACATCCACTAGCGATCAGAAATGCTTGGAGATGGTGGCTGAATTTTCCTTGGCTCCTAACCATGCTGCCTGTATACCTATTTGCCACACATACACTCGTTGTCTATGCCCCATGCATACACTGTCGCTGTGGGCATGTCTATGCTGCACCTGCGGGTGTGAATGGCAGCTCTAGTAGATATACCTGCACTAGCTAGCTCACTAAAAATAGAAGCAAGGACACTATGGCATGGGCTTCCGTGGGGACTAGGTACCCATTGAGGTACACACTAGCTTGCACTGGTGGTGCTGAAGCCTGCCCCACAGCATCCTCACTTCTAAGCTAGGGTGCAGTGAGCACAGATAGGTCTACCTGAGCTGCAAATCACACCCCCAGCTGCAGTGTACCCTATGTCTATACCCCACTGTCTGTGCGTTACCAACTGCCGGTGAGTTGCAAGGAATTTCACAGCAGGATGGAGGGGTGACAGGATACCAGTGTAGTCATGACTGTGAAAGGAATTGCCCCCTGACTATTTCACAGTGGGAAACTTGAGGGGAAAGCTGATGTGTGTTGCCTGCACTTAAACCAGCCTTCTTTTGTGGATGGATTTCCCGCTCCTACCAACCCATCCCCACCCCCATGCATTCTCCTACAGCTGTCACTGGAGCAGGACAGATGGGGCAGTTATCTGCACCCCTCAGGCACCATTCAAATTTACTTTATTCAAATTCAGGCTCAATTTACAGTTTGTTTTAGCCCTGTCTGTGAAACTAGAGTCTAGCTCTGCCATACCCTCATGGGAAGAAGTAAAGAGACAGCATGGTAAATCCCCATCCTTTGGAGAGTCGTATTGTCCAGTTCAGTACCAAGGAAGGGTTCGGCCCTTTCTCTGATGTCTATTACCTTCAAGAAACCCCAGCCCTTTCTGAAATCTACGACACTCTCCCTTTTCAGATAGTCCAACTCCTCCCATTTCCAAGGTCAACACACTGCTGAGCAAGGAGAGAGGTGAAACCAGTACTGGGCCTCAGACCAGTTCAGACACTTGGAACAGGCCCATTACATCTCCTATTGCTAACCAGCGAAAGGATCTGTTTTAGAGATGGCCTGGCCAGGTGTAGAGAAATGTGAGGGTCATTAAACACTGGGGTAGGGAGGAGACTTCTGGGCTCTGTTTCCAGCTCTGCCACAATGTGACAAGCCCTTTAACCTCAGTTTATCTGCCTAGAAAATGGGAATAATAATCCTGAACTCTCTGCAGGAAGGGCGGCGAGGCTGAATTTGTTAATGATTGTTAAGCATGTGGATGAAAGATGTTATATATGTGCAACTTACTGTAACAAACCCCTGGGCACTTAGGATTTCATGGCTGTCAGCATGCTGCATACCAAGTGCCCCACTCCTTCCTCCCTGCTTCCCTCTTCCCAGTCCATGGTTTACCACTTGGACCGTCAAGGCAATGATAGAATTCAGATTCTTCTTCTCCAGCATGCACAGGCCCTGACTCTGGAGCTAAGAATAATCTCCATTAGCCATTAGCACTACAGGGCTTATGACACACAGTTAAGCAGTTCTGATTCCATCCACCAGAGGACAATGGTGCACATGCACGTACACAGACACACTCATTCATACACACTCGCTAACTCATTACAATATTGATATTTTGCCAGCTAGACTAAATTAACCCTGATGCCATTCTGATCACAGCCCCATGTGACAAGTCGTCAGAAGAAGTCAGGACCTTCAGCGCAGAGTTCAAAAGCAAGTACCCAGAATGCCTTGTTCCAAAACAAGAGAAGGACCATGCTGGACTGAAGGAAGAAGGTGCGCCTGCCCTGTATCTGAACAGGACATTGTCAGGGCCTCCAGCTCAAGGTTAGCTATACAAGGCCAGGCTCTCCAAAGAGCTCGGGGCCTGATTGTCACATGCTCGGCACCTATAATTGGGGCCAGATTTTCAAAAGACTTCAGTGCCCAGCTGGCTCCCATTGTGACACCTCTGATCACACTGTTTATGGCAGAGCTGAGCCCTTTTGAAAACCTGGCCCTAAATGGTTCATGAATCAAAGAATTGTATGATGGTTGTTGCTTTGGTAACGAGGCCCTCAGAATAAATAGGGATCAAGAGATATTCTTCCACGTTATAGAAGGTATTGGCCAACTAAAGGCCTAGTGATTCTGAGAGGGTTTCATCCACTAGCTCGCCTTCACAGCCAACATCTGAATGTAGGAATGTCATGGTCCATCAGCACCGGCACCACTAGCCCCATGTTAAAGGGAAGTCTCATATCAGCCAAGGTCACATGAGTGCTGGAAGCATCTCTTCCCTACCTCACAGGCCCTGGTGGCCTTTAAATCTGATGAGCTTGGCATATGGTTACTACAGTATGGGCACCTTAGAGATGTTGGTGATTGAGAGATAGACCGAGGTTGTTACTGTCATGGTTGCATATGGCCCCACATGTGCACACACGTCCATACCACCACGCTCTTACAGCACCACCTGATGACAGTCTCCACTAGTACCCGAACTACTTTGTTCTCGGTCTGTGGTAGGTTGCCCAGTCTGCTTATACGTAGCAGGCCATTGACAGGCACTGCACCAAACTAGGAAGTACAAGCTGAGCTGTTGGGAAGTACTAACTGCCCTGCCTGGAGTATCAGCAACATGAAGCTAATCTAGCCACAGTACGCTGGGACAGATTTGTGTCTAGGGTGGCTCCTAGACCACATACAGCAGAAGTAAGACAGCCCTGCCCACCTACCAGAGTTATGAGAAGGCTTTACTGTATTTCTCACGGGCAGCATTTCCCTCTGCGCTTCTGGGACAGACGTGTGTCATGCCCGACAGCACGGCCATAAATTTCAGACTGAGACTAGAAACGTGTCAAACCCTCCTAACCGTGAGCTTGTTCTGTAGTTTCCCCCACAAGAGAGAAGAGACAGTAACCAATGCAAAGGGGACTTATGACTGAGGCACAGCCACATCCTGCAGTGCTCTCTGAGGCGCTTGCTCCCAGACTGCACTGGTGTCATTGCACAGGTTCTCCCAAAGCCCTGGCCTGGCCTGGGCATCCATGAAAGGGTCCTGAGTCCTGATCTGAATGCTGTGGCTTAGGCCCATCTGTAGATGAGATCAGCGTTTGAAATGCAGCGCACTGGTTACTCATCTTTCCCTGTGTAGCTTTCCTGAGTCGGGTATTCTCGTTACAGATATTAAGCAGTAATAAAATGACTGTGCTGAGCAGGTCTGGGAGCATTTGCATGAGTACCCAGGCAAAGCAGACAGCCTGCCAATCTGTTCTCCTTCTCCTTTGCCACCTCAGAGACAGCCGTCCCAGCTCTGCAAGTGAAGGGCTGCAGCAATTCCACAAGCACCCCCACCTTCTACAAGCCCAGTTTCTCTTGGGACGCCTTCCATTCTCCATACAGCTACAGGCAGATGTCTTCCAGCATGCAGTCAGCCCTCCTGGAGCGCTCAGTTAGTCTGTATGGCAGCCACCTCCTGCCGAGCTCTGAGCCGCCTATTGATTACAGCATGCGTTACTCACCGGACATGGAGACGTACCACTGTGTGAAGTGCAACAAGGTGCATCACCCACTGAAGCCATAGGGCTGGGGAGGAGCCTGGGGTGATTTTCATCACATACATACACCAGTATCCCACAGGCTTGATTTAAGGTACAAGGGACCCAGCTGGAGGATGGATACCAGGGATCCGATGTGGCCAAGGGCACCGGGAGCCTATGCGGGCAATATATGTACTTGGTGCTCAGTGCTCCCCCACCCATGCCACACCAAAAGTATAGCGCCTGCACTGGTACCTACACTACCAACCACTATCAAGATGATAGCAGAAGGTCTCTGTAAACAAGAACCTGGCTCTGCTGAGCAGAGATTGGCATAAGCCACAGAGTTGGATATGGATCTGAATCTGAACATCATCAGAGTTTGGATCTAGAGTTTTGGTTCAGCCCACTGGGAGAGTAAGGCTAGCTGCCATGTTCAGAGCCAGTGTGAAAGTTTGGGAAGAGCGGGCGTGTAGGGGTTTGGTTTGAGCCCCTCTCTGCTGGTAAATAAGAGCACCTCCTTTTGACTAGTCCAGAAGTAGAACCAGCAGAGACAGCTGGCCATTCACTCTCCTGGCTGGGGAAATAGTTCTGTGATTGGGCTCAGCTAATATGGGCAGCTGGAGGGAAACATCTGACAAAGAGAGGGAACTGGAAAATAGAGTTGGAGACATGGCTGGCTCCCAGGATCCTCATTGGCAGCTTTCCTCTTCTAGGTATTCTCCACCCCACATGGGCTGGAGGTCCATGTCCGAAGATCTCACAGTGGGACGCGGCCCTTTGCTTGTGATGTGTGCGGCAAAACCTTTGGACATGCTGTGAGCCTGGAGCAGCACACGAACGTCCACTCCCAGGTTGGTAGCCAACAGGGAGCCGATGGCATTGCAGAGTCACCTCTGGCATTGAATTCCCACAGGGGTTGGCTCCTCTGATACCTTGAAGCAGAGTCTGGGCAAATCCCGGCTCGTGCTGAGTCCTCCTTGTTAGGTTAGGTGGCACACCTCACGTGACATGATATGATTTGCTGGATTTTAATTGGCAGGCCCTCTTGAAAAATAGCAGGGAGTTTGGGAGGGAAGAGACATAACTAGAGACGGGTCTGAGCCACAACATTCAGATCTGGAGCCAGATCCAAATGTCCTAAGAGTTAAGGGGTTGTCTGGATAACCAGGGGTTTGGCTCAGTCCACTGTAGCAAGACGGGCGCCCTGTGATATTCAGGTCTGAGCCTCCCCAGAGTTTGAGAGTATTTGGATACAGGGATTTGGCTGACATCCATCTGTTATAACAAAGGGGGAATCCCCAACAGGGAAACGCAACAGCCTTCCTGCAGACACACCAACAGAGCAACACCAGTGCCAAGAACATTTATACAGCCACAACGGCCTGGAGGACTGAGGACAATGGACCTCATTCTTGGCTCTCTGTTCTCACAAATCTCAATGCTCTCCTTGGTAAATCCCTCCACATGTCAGAGGTTCATTTGCAATAGTTTCCTCCTGTGATTCACCTCCTCCTGCACGACACAATCTAGTGGCTCAGACTCCTGTAAGCTGTTTGGAGCAGAGACTTTTTTATCCTGTGTTTGGACAGCACCTAGCACAATGGGGTCCTCCTGGTCCATGACTAGTTGCTCCTGTGTGCTACTGCAATACAAATGAATAATAATAATAGTATTCCTAGGAGAAGATTACCTCATTTGTCTTGTTTAACTTGCTAGCCTGCCTAGTTTTCTACTAGCTTTGGACTCCATCACTTCACCTGTGAATGACAAATCTGATCCCCAAAATTTCATTTCCCCCAACAGGAGAGAAGCTTTGAGTGTAAGATGTGTGGAAAGACTTTTAAACGCTCGTCCACATTGTCCACCCACCTCCTGATCCATTCAGACACGCGGCCCTACCCCTGCCAGTACTGCGGCAAGCGCTTCCACCAGAAATCGGACATGAAGAAACACACCTACATTCATACCGGTGAGAAACCTTTCTGACACGAAACACACACACACCCCTGAGCCCACAGCAGTCACGCATACAGATGCACTCACACACACACCAGTCACACATATGCATGCATACATGCACCTGAGCTGACAACACTAACATGCACACATGTACATGTGCACCTGAGCCCACAACATTCATGCCCACACATGTGCACACACGCACACAGACAAGTGAGCCCGGTGTTCATGCACACACTTGTGCAAATGCACTGAGATGACGTACAGGAAGATGCTGATGGTGAGCCCAATTGTGGGCTCAGCATATGTGTTTTTAATGTTGCATGTATGCCAGAGGGTCTGATAGATGCAGTCACACCTGTGCAGGGGGGGCAGCACAGGTCTCAGCACCAATGAAGTCCCACTGGCCCCCTGGAGGGGTTAAATGTTCCCCTTTGTGACCCAGTCCATAATGCCAAGAGGGGGGGGATGAGCCCAATTTCCCTAGTGTAGAGGGCTTGAGTTTGTGTTCTGCTTGGGAGAGTTGGGGAAGGGGTGCAGGGATCAGAGACAGGGAACGAGAAAAAAGATGCAATGACAAAAAGAGGGTGAAAAAGAGCAGAGGGGGCACTGACTGAGCAGCCGCGGCAGAGAGGCCAGGGACTGAATGGGCTTTGCAGGCCGAGCTCCCCTCTCAGCCCTACAGGTGTTCCCTCCAGGGCCGCGTGGTGGCACATCAGCAGGGCAGTGTGTGGCTAACAGACCCGCACTGCCCAAGCCCGTTGGCCCAGCACAAACAGCTGCCTCAGTTTGGATCCGTGATGGTTTGTTTCTGTCCCACAGGGGAGAAGCCCCACAAGTGCCAAGTGTGCGGCAAAGCCTTCAGCCAGAGCTCCAATCTCATCACCCACAGCCGCAAGCACACTGGCTTCAAGCCCTTCAGCTGTGAACTCTGCGCCAAGGGCTTCCAGCGCAAGGTGGACCTGCGGCGGCACAGGGAGACCCAGCACAGCTTGAAGTGAGAGCACACCCCCAGCTCTGTCTTGGAGCCCCGACTCCCAGAAACATGGAATCCCACCAATATTCTGGCCTCGTCTCTCCCTCTGCTTGGCTTGGGGCACCTACTTTGTTAAATGCTTATCTCTGCCCGGATTCCCTGCGGGACTGGCGCAGCAACATCATCTTCCCTGCATCCGACGAAGTGGGCATTCACCCACGAAAGCTTATGCTCCAATACATTTGTTAATCTTAAAGGTGCCACAGGACTCTCTCTTGCTTTTTACAGATCCAGACTAACACGGCTACCCCTCTGATACTATCTTCCCTGGTGTTACCCCACATCTCCCTGTGCGTGACCAAGAATGGCACTGCCGGGATCACTCACTGTCTGGTTTTATCACAGGCATTGGGCCAGGCTCTGATCTCAGTTACTCCAGTGTAAATCCCCTGGAGTCGTCATTACTCTGGATTTACAATGAGTGCAGGATCTGGCTCATCTCATCCACTGGCGACACAAAGGGACTCCTGGGTTGATGACACCAACTGACTAGCAATCTGTGCCAGGCTCCCTAACCATGCTCTACTTCGATGGTTAGGAAGATAAGGCCTGGGCATGCAAATAATTTGCATTCAATGAGCTCTGCTCAGCTAAGACAGGGTTCCCACAGAGGGCATAAATTTGGGGCACATACACCTAGACTCACATTCTTTCAACAGGAGTCTTTTTGTTATCAGGTGAAAAATATGTAGCACTGCACGTTTATCTTACAATAGAGTTGGGGGGAGGGCAGTAAAAAATCAGACCCTGCATGCCCATATTAGTACCACCTGGCTATCTACATGGACTTCTGAGCTACTCGGTATTCAGGACCACGGGGAATTTTGTTTCCCTGTCACTCTTACAAAAGAAGAAGCTGATCTATCCATCTTGAACCCATCACATTAGTATGTGAGAACCCTACAAGTATTAGCAAGGCAAAGTAGCAGTATACCTCTTCTCCGATATAACGTGACCTGATATAACATGAATTCGGATATAACGCGGTAAAGCAGCGCTCCGGGAGGGCGGGGTTGCGCACTCCGGCGGATCAAAGCAAGTTCGATATAACGTGGTTTCACCTATAACACAGTAAGATTTTTTGGCTCCCGAGGACAGCATTATATCGGGGTAGAGGTGTATTTCCTTCTCTCTCTGGTCTAGTGGTTAAAGCACAGGGCTGAGAACAAAAGCCATGGGTTCTCTCCTTGGTGCTGCTACATCTTGACTATGTGACCTTAGGGCAGGGCACTGCCCCTCCCTCTGACTCAGTTTCCCCATCTGTAAAATGGAGATGATACTTCACCTCACTGGGGTGTCATAAAGATTAATGTACCAGGTTTGCTTTGAGATCCTCAGTTGGAAGACACTAGAGAAGGGCAAAGTGCTATGTTAGGGAGAGAAGTGCCTTTAAATGAGAGGGGCAATGAAGCCCCAACCAAGTCAGCCTCGGACACTGTGTCAAACAGTGACATCACTGTGTTTAGCCTGTGGCTGGGATGCAGCATCGGTTCCTTTGTCCCTCTCTTTACCCCAGCACTGATGAATGAAACAAAAGCCCTGCAGTGACTCTCCTACAGATAGGAAAGACAAGATGCAAGTGGAGAATTCATTTACTGCCAGGAGGAAAAGGGCCAAATCCTGCTCTCAGTTACCCCAGTATAAATCCGAATGGCTCTGGCCCAGGATGTGAAGCATAAATGCCTCCGTGTTTGTGCTGGCTCTAGGCTACTTTTCACTAATATGCAATCTAGCGACTCAAAACACTCTCCCCTCCTTTGCGTGTACATTTACATATGTATTTATACTTATTGTAATGTATATTTTTACTGTAATAAACCAGACTGTAACAACCTGTACGGGCCTGTTAGATTTCCCAGATAAACGCTATGTTTCTTCTCAGCACCCGGGGGAGGTAGACTATCACAACACTCTGTGGACTAAAGACACCCATTTCAAGAAAGGCTTTGGCCATGCCCAGCTCTGGATTTGCAATAGCCTGTCTGATTTACTAGTCTCTCTCTTTAAATATCACAGGGGCCTAGTCCACACCATGGACTGAAGTGTCACTTAGGGGGGAAATGCCAGCATAAACTAGTGTGGCTAAGGCACACTCAGCTGCTACAGAGCGTCCTCTACTCAGAGCCCACACGCAGACCAGCAAAGAACGCTTGGGTCAGGTTTTGGTCCTGTTCACAGCGTGATACATACAGAGAGCCACATATCGGCAGAGTACAGTTACCATCAACAGGTAATACACTGAGAGAGACTCGTCAACTCTTTTAATAGATCACAGCCAAAGTTAGGATCTAGGTCAATGGCAGGGCTTCAAAGGTTGGGTATAAACAAGTGGGGGGAAATGGGGCTGAGGAATCACTCTCAGGATTACAAATGGGACGCACACAAACTCACACATATACAGGGACACACAGCACGTGCACTCCCCTGCCCCCACCTCTCTGCAGGGTAAAAAGTCATTTTAATATTACTAGAAGTGCTGCCAAGAATCCAAATATTGATTGTGATTTGTTTGTTTATTTTGCACCCCTAAAATCAATAAAAAAAGATGTAAGGAGTTCCCAGGTATCTGAACCTCTCGACTGCTTCCCACTCCCAACCTCCCGTCCTTATGCTCTGTGGCAGCAGGTGTTTAGGACTGAGTTACGGGCAGAGCTGGTCACTGCAATGCTGGCGTGGCCTGAATAGAAGCTACACCAAAGAGCACCTGTAAAACCACTCATAAAAACAAATCAGACAGCTGGTTCTTCCAAGCGCTAGCAAACAACAGCTGCTGTGTCTGGGACATTTCCATTGTTATCACTGATTTCCATGGGATGGCAGAGTCGCTGCTTGGGGGAGGGGGCTGGTATCTCCTCTCCTGAATCCCTGCCTCTGCAGACAACTTCTTTCCTTCGAACCAAAGAGCCACTCACCCGCTTCAGTCATTTCTTTTGCCTTGTACCCTAGGGTACATGGTGACGGCAGCAGCCCTGGTATCACTGAGCTGACTGGATAACTGAAGAGTTGTTAGACTAGAGTAAGCAATGGCAGCCCTACATTTATGCTAATTATGTGGTCACATGAGCCCTGTATATCTTAGAGTCTCATCTGATGCAAGGCTGACTTAGGCACAGGCTGGACAGGCAGCCTCTAGAGAAACACCTTTTAGGGGTACTATGACACTCAGGCGTTCCACTACTGAAAGCAGCAATGTGGCCAGAAGATTTCACTTCTGTTCCTTTACTCACTGCAGAAAGATGCACCGAGAGCTCAGCTGCAGATCAAATGCAACAGGAGAAGGGTCGGCCTGACCCAGAAGCCTCCCCATGCCCAGACGTCTCGGAGCACATCTCTAGGAGCATGGGTGGTGGAATGAGGCCAGCTGGCAGAAACGGAAGGGAAGAAATGGAAGGTGACCTGGGAAAGGGGGAAGGGATAGAACTTGTTGGGTTGGGGGCTGAGATACCACAGCTATTCTTCACCTAGGGTAACAGTATACCTGGGGTAGGGCCAGGCACTGCTCCCTGTCACCAAACAGTGGACAGCTCTAGTGACACTGGCCATTTCCTCCGCATCCTGCATTCCCTGATTCCTGCTCAGCCTCCATTCCACGCAATGAGTGCAGGGGACCTTTTCCAAACTGGTTCCCATCCCCGCTTTGCGTGTGGTGCTCCTGGCTTCTACACTTCCCTAAAGCCTTGGTTCTTGGGTGGTGGCCAAGGAGGTTTCATAGGTACGTGGAGTTTGAGGGGAGAGCTTAATCACAGGCCAGGAGGAAACTGGGCAGAGCCCTGCAGGTCTTTCCTCACAAGATCCCTGAGAATCTAGGCTCATCCCTGTGAGAAGGGGTCTGAGAGGCCCCAGACTGGGGTCAACATGTAAGTTGCTCTTATCTCATAACATGGCTCCTCTTGAGGAAGGGATCCAGTTACCCAACCAGGTCTCCAAACTGCATGGGGTTATGAGATCAGGGGGACGGGGGTGGGGAATCCTGAGTCACAGCCACAACGAAATAACCAGCGTTCTAAGCGCAGCCGTGCGTTTCAGGCCAACCCACCAGGCTTCACAGCACACTCAAGACCTGAGTGTGCGGCACAGCCCTACGCACCCTGTCATGTTACACTGCTTGTTCAGAAGTCACAGTTCTGTTGTCCTCGTCTTTCCCATCACAAAAAGGCTCCTCTGTCCAGTGGGAGCCCTGTTACACTTCCCACACACCTGAGCTGACTATGTCAGTGCACTCTACAGAGCTTTTTGCATTTCATTTCCCTGTGGTTTTTTTGAAAGGAAAGGGAAAGGAAGAAGAAAAGCAAAAGGCCCATAGCTGCAGCACTATGGAGCTAAGTGATTCTCCTTTGCACAATTTCACACTTTAATCTGCTCGCCTGAAACTTTTGAAATTCACCTGAAGGAGGGAGGGAGGGAGAGAGGGAGAGAGGAAGGAAGCAGTTGTGCCTACACACACACCACACTGCACAGGGCTGGTGGAAGAGCCTTCAGGTCAGAATTCTGGAGGGAGACCGGTCAGCAGAGAACAGATCATGGGCACAAGACCGGGAGGAGGCCTGTAGGCGCAATACAGCCTCTTTCGAGAAGTCAGTTAGCCTATGGGCTAGGCTTTGTTGTAAAGGGCTTCCCTTTGGCTCATGCTTAATCCAAACCTGGGGGTGCTGAGCTGATTTAGCGGGTAGTTGGTGGTGCTGAGTACCCTACAGGATCAGGCCACTTGTGTCATCAGATTCGGACACACCTGCCCCCTTGTTCCCCAAACATGCAAATCCTTCCCAATTTTGACCGCTCTGAACATAGCCCCCTTCCCACCATCTATCCCAGCATCAAAACATTCTGGGCAGTCAATCAAGAAACCAGATAACAAAACAAAAAATCTCAACTAATCTTTGTGGCTGAAGAAAGAGCTGATTGTTTTTGCTCCTCGCTGAGCCCTCCCTTCCCCCCTCCCACGTCTCTCCCCCAACACCTTAATTCCTTTATTGGAAGAAAAAATCTTGGTATTTGGACTGTTTTGTTTAGCAAATGAGGGCCATGCAAAGCAATCCCCCCAGGCAGCTGCCAGAAGGAGGGGGGGGTGTATGCTCCCAGCAGCCTTCAGGCATAGAGGGCTCCACCCCAGCAACATGCTATTGATCATGGATCTATCTGGACATAGCCTGGACCTGGAATGATCAAAACTGGGAAGAGCTGGGGGGAGAGGAAGGGGAGA